CCTTGGATACCGGCACCGCCCCCTGGATACCGGCCACGCCCCCTGGATACCGGGCGGACCCCTGGGAACCGGCCACGCCCCCTGGATACCGGCCCCGCCCCCTAGATATCGGTCCCGCCCCCTGGATACCGGCCACGCCCCTGGATACCGGCCGGACCCCTGGATACCGGCCACGCCCCTGGATACCGGCCGGGCCCCTGGATATCGGCCCCGCCCCCTGGATACCGGGCGGGGCCTTGATTACCGGCCGGGCCCCCTGGATACGACCCCACCCCCTAGATATGACACGCCCCCTGGATACCGGCCCCGCCCCCTAGATACAGCACCACGCCCCCTGGATGCCAGCCCCGCCCCTGCATCCCGGCCACACCCCTTGGGTACCAGCACTGCCTGGAGATATTGGCCCCGCCCACTGAATCCGGCCCCGCCCACTGGATTCCCCGCCCCCCCCAACGCCCTCCCTCGGGCATCGCCCCCTCCCCTTGATGCCGTCCCGGGCAACCAAGATGGTCCCTTGGCAACCGCTGTCATCCCTAGCAACCGGGCTCTGCCCTTAGCAACCAGGGCCCGCCCCTAGCAACGGTGCCTGCCCCTAGCAACCGGGTACCCTCCTGTTGCTCCTGGCAACCGGGGCCTGCCTACAGCAATCGCATCCACCCTAGCAACCTGGTACCCTCCTACTGCTCCTAGCAACGGGGCTGTCCCTAGCAACCCCGCCCTGCCTGTAGCCAGCGCCCAGCAACCAAGGGCTGTCCCTAGCAACCAGGCACCCCCCCCCCACTCCCTCCCCTAGCAACCAGCCCGTCATCCCATAGCGACAAGCTGTTGTCAGGGGCTGTTGTCAAGGTCCCTGCCCCAGGGCAAGCTGGGAAAGCCGGGGGCGGTCATGGCGGCCATTTTGCCTCCGTGTCAGCCATTTTGACCCCTCATCGACCATTTTGGCCCCACATCGGCCATTTTGGCGCCACATCGGCCATCGTGGCCTCATGTCGGCCATTTGGGACCCACGTCAGCCCTTTCCAGCCCCACGTTGGCCATATTGGCCTCGTGTCAGCCATCTTGGCGTGACGTCCACCATTTTGTCCCCTCATTGGCCATTTTGGCTTGTGACAACTCTTTTGTCCTTGTGTCGGCCATTTTGGCCTCGCATCAGCCATTTTGTCTTTCTGTCGACCATTTTGGCCCCACATCGGCCATTTCGACGCTGCGTTGGCCCTTCTGGCCTCGTGTCCGCCATTTTGGCCCCATATTGGCCTCTTTTGTCCTCACGTCGGCCATTTTGGCCCCGTGTCAGCCGTTTTGGCCCCACGTTGCCCTTTTTGGCTTCACATCAGCCATTTTGGCCCCGTCTTGGCCTTTTTGCCCCCCCCGTTGGCCCTTCCCATCCCTCTGTTGGCCATTTTGGCCCCGCAACAGCCCTTTTGTCTTTGTGTCGGCCATTTTGTCTTCACGTCGGCCATTTTGACCTCGCATCGGCCCTTTCCAGGCCCATGTCAGCCATTTTGCCCACCCAGCAGCCATATTGTCTTCGTGTCGGCCATTTTGCCCACCCAGCGGCCATATTGTCTTTGTGTCGGCCATTTTGCCCACGCGGCGGCCATTTTGCCCACCCAGTGGCCATATTGTCTTTGTGTCGGCCATTTTGCCCACGCGGCGGCCATTTTGCCCACCCAGTGGCCATATTGTCTTCGTGTTGGCCATTTTGCCCACCCAGCGGCCATATTGTCCTCGTGTCAGCCATTTTGCCCATGCAGCGGCCATTTTGCCCACGCGGCGGCCATTTTGCCCACGCGGCGGCCATTTCGTGGCCCCTTCCCACCCACAACAAGCACAGCAGCCGCGGGGCCGGGCCAACAGGCGCTTTATTCCCGCCCAGGCGCTAGGCCGGGGGCGCCTCCTCGCGCAGGTAGCCGCGGTACAGGCGGCGCAGGCGGCTGACGGCGGC